AAGCGCGAGCGCAGCGCCGGCCGCAGGGAGCGCGGAGCGCGCCCCCTCGCGGGCCCGCCCGGCACTGCCGCTGCCTCCCGCCGGGGCGGGAGCGGGGCGGCGCCGCTCGTCGGGAGAGGCGGAAAGCGCCGGGCACCGGTGGGAGGGGCACCGCTGCCCGGGGTGCACCGAGCTTAAAACCCCATCCGCCAGCCTTGATCGCTGAAGGCAATCACAGGAACTTGGTCACGGGAGCCTTGCTTCCTGGTCATTGTTAAGAACGTAAACATCTCCAAAAAAACCCATCACCGTCCAGGAAAATACTGTGATTTTCTCTTTCTGTGATGTTCACTGGAATCTTGTCTCCATCAAAAAGAGTGATAGAAAGGAAGATATCCTTAGATATAATGGCAGTGATGTCAGAAGTGGAGAGAAGAAACAATCATCCTCCGTCTTGTCACAGAAGTGACAAGGAAAGTGCAGGAAACAGTTGTGAGGGCTTTAAAGAGTGATTTGTTTTATTGCCTTGTGGAGACTGCAGTAGAGAAGGAGGAAGTGAGATGGATGTGCTGAAGTGCTAGCCTGGAGGGATAGGTTTTGCACTGGTATTATAGTGAGATAGGTTTGTGAATCAACACTTGAGGAGATGTGGCAAACAAGAATACTGAGGATGGGAGTTTTGTTTTTCTTCTTGTTTTGCAGAGAACTTGGACCAGAGGATCTGGTGGAGGTCCCAGTGTGCTGGTATTTATAGGACGGAAATGACAAATCTTGTGAAATTGTTTGATACTACAGTATCAGCCCTGGACAGAATAGTGGAAGGGTTGGCCACGCATTGTCAGAGGGAATGATGACTGCTGTTAGCTCTACAGTCAATGTACATTTCCAAAAAATGTAATTTATGCCTGTTTGGAATACCACCAGTGAAGGTACATTGTTATCCCAGGATATTTAACTTCCCTGTGTTTTATTTTTATGCAATATTGTGGGCTTTTAAAAATCTATGTGTTAGTAATTCAGAACTTTTTAAAGTTGTGTTACCCAGTTCATTTTGAAGGACAAGAGCTTGACTCTAGGCACTGCTGGAATTGGCAATTTTGGAAAAATTAGTAGAGTTTTGAAAATTATGTCCTCTTGCAGGAGGACACTCTCAAGCTCCACATCAAGGGATGCCGAGCTCCACCTGCCTTCCTTTTTCTCAGTGGGAGCACTCTTCATCTGCTCACCTACCACAGAGCTCCTGTGCTCTTGCTGCTTTCCCTATTTTAAGGACACATTACCAAATGTATCTGTTGCATTTACGTTCAGTGATTCTCTGCATTTTATGAATAAACATGGATTGCACTCCTGGCATGGTACTCCTGGTAAATTGACACTGCATGTGCTGCTGTGTTGCAGGTATGTCTGTGCTGTTCAGAGACCTTGAAACACTGGATCAATTTACTTCTGCTCTCTGTGATGCCTTAAGTTTTAGATTTCATATTTTCCAGATTCTGTACTGCCTTAGGTGTCAGCAGTTCTCCTCACAGCTCAGCCACACAAACCAATCCTTTTCCAGCCCAGAACCAAGGACACCACTGCAGCTTCAGTCCCAAAAAGTACAAACAACAGGGAATTGAGGGGATCAGTCTGGGACTGCATAGCCTGGAGCTGTAACTGGACAATTAACCCCAATGTGGAAATGGACCAAAACTTACAAAAGTGTGAAAACTCTTGACCCATCTTGGATGGAGTCATGGCCAGGCTCTTGTACTGCCCAGGGTGATTCCTTTGAAGGCCTTTTAATAAATCCCTACTTTATTCCTTTAACTCTGTCCAGCCTCTGTTCCAGGTCTGCCTCTCTAGGCATCATCTGTACAGGCTGAACTGCAGTTTGAGTTATTGTACGGTGTGGACTTTTTTCAAAGAGTTACTGAGCAAGACAGAAGCCTTTAATTTTCACTGAGGGAAGCTGAAGTTCCAAAAGTAACCTTTATGTCTGTATTTAGGGACCTGGTGTTTGGGGTTCTGCTCCTGCAGCTGCTGTGATCAGCAGACTCAAGCCTCTCAGAGCTCCATTTATGTTTAAGAGATAAAGACCCTGCCTTGTTCTTCTCTCCAAATGCACAAGTTACACACTGACTGTTTCACAGTTTCTTTGGTGACTTGAAAGCTTTCAAAAATCTGTCTCTTCCATTGTTTCCTCCTCACCTCTGTCTCAATTCCCTGTCTGTAAAATAGGGATAAGATCAAATTTCCGACCTCCAAGGGGAAAAGCATGAAGGGGAAAAAAAAAGGATTTTTTGACACATCAGAGAGAAGTGATGTCTCAGACATTTGTCAGTAGTACATGAAGAGCTCATTAAATGCTTATCAGTGATTAATCAACTTCTGACTTAAACTCTGTTGCTGCTTTTCCAATAGATGATTGTCAGCAGTAGGGCTGTTTCCAGGAGAGTGCCACAGAGCACTTCATGGGTACAGATTGGGGTCTGTGTCCTGAAAAGCAGGAATTACAGGAATTTGTGATTGTATTAGGTGATCAACAAAGCAGGGGTTCCACTTTAATGAGACAGCTAGACCAAAAGGTGTTTTGAAGCATATATGAAAAAAATAATAGAACAGCTGAAAGAGATCAATAATCATCTAGTTCAACTGCAAGAAGGATTGGCATTACTTATGTTTATTTCATTAAAATTGATTACTGGCACAACGTCAGTGTTCTGGGATCAGCATTTCAAACCCCTCTTGGTTGGGAGTTGAAAGGAGTTATGATTTGAGGTCACCCCTGTATTCAGAGGTTGAGGGCACAGAGTCTCTTCAGTTGTAAAATTGACTAGTATGGATCTACAACAAGACTTTCAGAAAAAGAAATCCAATCTGTAATTGGACTGTGAGCAGATTTTGTCAAGCTCCCAGCTACATGATGCAGCTGCTCTGCTGGCAGCTGATATTATTTCTTACCAATTTCCTGATGTTTCAAGGATCACCAGTATTGTAATGTTTGTCAGCAGACGTCGTGCTGCTTTCCCCAAGTTAGAATTCCCCATCCACATGATGTTTAAACCAGAATCACACATACCCATTTATTCCCAGGAGGCTTAGATGGACAGGATCGCTCAGGGAAAGCCCTCCAGTGCTGTGGCTCCCAGTTCTGCAGCATCTCCTTCTCACACTTTCATCCTGCTGTCATTTCTGCTTCCAGGCCTCCTAACCTGACACAGACATCTACTCAGTCTCCAGGGAGTCTTTGGTCTATGAGTTTGGCCTTACAGCATCTGAGCCACAATGTCATCACCTTGGGGCCCCACACATGGATGGCAAGGGAGGAAACAGGATAAATTGTGCTGGCCCCTGCTTTCTTGTGGTGAGATCTGCTCAGAAACTTCCAGCCTTTGTTCTGGGCTGGGAATGGGTTTCATCATGGGGAGGAGGGCACTTTCTATTCCGAGAGGAGAAAGCAGCGCCAAGGAAGGTTTTAATTTTCTGCCATCAGTGCAGAGCAGACAGTTTGCTGGCAGCTGCAGGGCTTGATAAACACTGCAGTCCTGATCCAATCTGTCACAGGGAGGGGGACTGCAGCAATGGAGCATGTTCTTATCCTGTGGGAAAGGGTCTTGATGGAGTGATGCCTAAAGATTTTTGCTTTTTATACATTTTTCATAAATTTGTAACTTTGTGGACTGTTAATACATAGTTATAATTTCTAGTACTTTTCTGCCCTCTCCCATAGTTTAACAAACCCTTAGAAATACATTCTTGAAATTCTGTTTATTCTTAATTTTTTATGCCTTCCCCTGCAATCAGGCACTTCTGCTCTGTTACAGTCATGCACCCTGAGGTCCTATTATGAAAATTTTCTGCTTAGTATTTTTCAAATGCATTGAGGGAGGGTTCTTGTTTATATGCCATTCTTACTTTTTTATTCCTTCCATCTTGCTGATGCTGTTTTTCCATCTTGTTACCCTTATCTGTTAGTGGTTCCCATTGCCTTTGCTAGTTCCTTTCTCTGCCTTGTTTTTGTTTTCCCATAGTAAGTATAAATTTAAATTCTGCATCCATTTGCAAGAGCTGCTGCTTCCTTCTGTCCCCCTTAATTTGATTAATATTTCCTTCCATCTTTTCTGCTTATTCAATTGGTCATGTTGCTGATTTTAATATCACATTGCTTTTTCCTGCTGTTTCTGAAATGCACTTTGTAAGAAATGGATCTGTGTCCTGCACCTTCATGGTCTCCCTGTCTATGTCCTGAGTCCTTTAGCAGCTTCAATGCCTTTATTTGACATTTCTCAGGTCTAAATTGGTAGCTTATGTTGTTTGAACTGAGTCAGGTGCCAGGGGAGTGCTGCACTGCTGCTTTTCCATTGCTGCCTTTCCCTCTGCCCGGCTTCCTTTCATCTTCTCTTCAGAGCAGTGCTGTGTTCAGCTTTTTGGTGTTGCTGTCACCAGATCCACCCTGCCAGCCTTTCTTTTTTCAGTTCCTGGCTCTTGCTCTTTTTCTGCTCAGCCATGGCTCACACTTCTCCACTGACTAATTATCTTCATGCACTGATGTTCTCTCCCAGTGATGAATTTTCTTCTTCTCTTCCATTACAAACTAAACTGCAAAAAATTCCTCAGCCTTTAAAGACTTGTAGGATCTTCTTCACCTCCTGCATGGGTTCTTCCCACTTTCACTTTGCCATCTTCCTAATTTAAAATGGGAAGGTTCAAAGTTTGGCTTATTTCTTTGTCCTTCATCTCAGGTGGATTTGACCTGTTTTAGCTCATTCCTCAAACTCTTTCCTCCTCCTGTGCTCATCTTGTAAGAGCTCTCTGCTTCCTCCCACAGGAAAGGAACAGGAAATAACTTCTTCTTTCTCTTTGCCTTGTTTCATTCTTCTCTTTCTTCTCCCCATCACTAATGCAGAAATTTCTTATCTATTTTGTTATTGCAATCTCAAGTAATACACTGAGGAGTTCAAATGCAGAGTTTCAAATAATTTATGTGACTAATTATTTGCTCTAGAAGGGAAGATGAAGTTTGTAGGTGGTGTTTGTACAACAAGCAGTGACTTTGCAGCATGGTGGGCTCTGTATCTCAGTCTCCAAGGCTACAGGCTGCAGCAAGAGTGAACTTAAAACCTGTAGTGCACAAAATCACTCAGGCACAAAGTAAGTGCTGTGAGATGTGCTAATTTTCTGTAAGCAACACTTAACCCTTATGTTTTGCTTCTCTATTTGAGAATTAATCAATTGTACAAATAAAACAAAGATCTGCAGTCGTGTGTAATACAGGTGAAGGATAATGTTTCTCAGAATCACAGAGTTCTGAAAGCTGCATATTGTCCATTGTGGCTGTGACAGGGGCTGCTGAAGCCACTGCAGGTCCCAGGGTTCCTTAGGTGGGAGATGTTGGATATGGAGCCTTTCTAAGTGCAGATCTGAACACGTGGTGGAACAGAACTGGGAAGGTGCTGAGAGTCCTTCACCTTTAACAGAAATGAAAACAGAAGATATTATTCTTATTCTATATTAGAATAGAATAGTTCCACTAGGAACAGAATAGTTCCACTATGAACCTGCAAGGCTCATCTAATCAAATTGCTCAACTGGGTTCAATACTCTCTGACCTGATTCTTTTAGGAAGACCACGTGAGGAGGATTTATTGTTTGGAAGCAAATCTACTTATTTGAAGACACTTGGCATTATGTAATGTGATTTACAGACATGCCCCAGCTTTTACACCTTCCTTACTTGTATTCCTCACCTCATGGACACTGCCAGTGGAGCCCATCAGAGAGGTTTTATAGTATTGCCTGATGAGCTTCTGGCAAGTGTTTAGATTTTGTAAGGCAGGCAAGTATAAATGCTATAAACTGGAAATTGTATCTTGTCTGCTTTGTGGACTTGTGACCCTGTGGCAAATTAGGGGCTGCCAAAGACTTGAGTAATAGACAGGATCCTGTTCTTGGTCATCAAAGAGAACATCACAGAGGAGAAGAGTATCACAAACTTTGAAATGTTAAATATAAAATTACACTACAGCTTGTAAAAAAAAAAATATTCAAAGGATAACTGACACCCTGGCTTTAAAATCAGTGACTGTATGCACCAGCTGTGGGACTGACATTCTCTGCAGTTACCTAAGGTGTCATTCAATTTAATTGAAAGGAAAAATCATCCCATGCAGGTGTTCATAAAGGTGATGTGAAAAGGGTTTAACCCATCTGGTTACTGGAAGAGTTCAAGGCCAGTTTGGATGGGACTTGGAGCAACCTGGTCTAGTGAAAAGTGTCCCTCTCCATTCAGGGAGGCTGGAGATAGATTTTTAAGTCCCTGTACATCCAAATTGCTGTGGAATTGTGACTGTGGTTATC